ATATTTATCCTATGTATGTTGTAAACACTTGTTGGAAGTAATATTTATCCTATGTATACTGTAAACATTTTGTGGAAATCATATTTAAACTGCGTTATATTGTATGCATTTGTTGGATGTAATATTCATCCTATGTTATATTGTAAACTTTTATTGAAAGTAGTATTTATTTTTTCCTTTTAAAATTACACTTATAATTATTTGATCTTGAAGAAAAACAGTTTGATATGTTAGTATATATGGAAATATCTATATGGTTCGTCAAGTACACAACATCTTTTAAATTACAGAGCAACATTTAATTAGTTAATATACTAAATATAAATCTTTCTTCAATTTTTAAGTGATATATATTTCACAAGCACAGTTATTAACTCACCTACTTTGTTTTATTCGTGCTTGTAACCTAATTAGTGATAATTAACTACCTCATTATTTTCAGACATAATTGATCTTGTACACTGATTTTATGAGCAACGCCTCCTAATGGCACAGCGGTATGTCTGCGGACTTAAAACGCTAGAAACCGGGTTTCGATACCTGTGGTGGGCAGAGCACAGATAGCCCATTCTGTGTCTTTGTGCGTAACTTCAAACAAATCCTGAGTAACCTTTTCAAATCATATTTATATGTATAAACACCAATAACTCTTGATTGGCACAGTGAGAATATAGTTAACACAGTATATTCATTGTTTATTTTGTGTAATTTGTTTATTCGTTGTTAATCACAAAGCTACACAATGTGCTCTGCCTACCGCAAGTATCGAAACCTGATTTCTAGTGTTATAAACCCTCAGACTTACCGCTGAGCCACTGGAAGGGTATTTTGTATAAGATAAATTAATCGTTATTTTTGCTCGAATATTAAAAAGTGACAAAATTGCTTGTAATGTTAAAATGTGCGCAAAAATGCTGAAAATGTTTTGACTGACAAAATGCTTTTGACATGCAAATTCAGTGGGATTTATAGATATAATAAACATATAAGAAGTATGAAGTTTTATGTTAATTTATATTTACCATTGATATTAAATTAAACTTACATAAAATACAATGATTTCATAACTTTGTCTTGGTTGATCAATATTCTCTATCGTGAAGCTGAATGAGTAAATAATAGGAGAAAATCTCGATCAAAATATTATATAGTTAACTTAACACTCAACAGATGGCACCCTCAAATGAAAAAAATTTGAGTGGTGGGATTAAATCTCTCAGAATTTTCGAACAAAGCTACACAAAAGACTGTTTACATATGACTAACCCTAATTTTCACCTGAAAGATTAAAGCGAAATCAATTAGTCACGGTACCCACTGCTAACTATTTCACTAATCTTGTCTGATCGAATAGTGAAAATTGACTCTCACTCTTAAATCGTAACCACGCCGATCCCCCACTCCCAAATGAGGAGAGCGTTTTGGGAGCAACAAGTCGCGAACTATGAACTTTCACATTGACAGTTCTAGCAGCCTTTTGTATGATAGAACAACAAGGTTCATTAACAGTTTTGGTGGAAATGGTAATTCTTGTTCCCAGTTATCAACTACTGTTTTTGTTTATAGTTTTATTAAGATAGTTTCAAAAATACGTAGATCTCTCCCTCATCCTGTGGTATGAGAAGGTTTGTGTGTTGTTGATTGGTCGGTGGGCTATCGTTAGAGTTCAATATGTGTTGTTGATTGGTCGGTGGGTTATCGTTAGAGTTCAATATGTGTTTTGCTGCAAGAAAGGTCTTGTATTGTTGGTTGGTCGGTGAGCTATCGTTAGAGTTCAATATGTGTTTTGGTGCTCATAAACGGTTTATATTTCAGAAGCTTAGATGCTAGTCGTTTTGTTCTTCTTGTCTGGCTGTCGATCCTGTATTCTCTTGTTTAAAACTCCACCATTAGTACTGATACCACACTCAGAACAAAGTTATGTCGATAGTCGATTTGAGTTTTTATCGGAAAGTTTTGGGCCTGAAAATTCAACTGTGTATTAGACCCATTCTAACTCTATGGTTGTGTATCAGTGTGAAAGCTCCAGTGTGAACTGAGAAAATCCGCAAGTCCAACGAAATTAAGCGCGTTTGATAGGACAAAAACTAGGCTGAAGGAAACGTGTTTGAACAAGCACAAGTTGTAAAATGCTAACGTAGAATACAGCTGTTAGTTTTACACAGCTGTATAGAAACAGAATCATTAATTAGAAATATTCATGTAAATCTATGAAGACTTTCGTCCGAGTAAGACAGATGCTAAAACCATTTTAAGTCAGGCAGGTGTTTAACGTAACAGCTGACGGAAAAAAACACACATTTAGTATCGGAATCTGCTGTCGTTCACATGATTGATCACTTTTACCGAGAAGTTTTCAGTCTGACTCAATAATAATGTTAACGATGTAGGTTATGTTAGTTGTCAAACTGTACAGCATACCACAACTAAAGAAATTAAATATAAGAAAGACGCGTGGGCGTCCGCAGAGATTATTCCAGGGTGAGATAAAGTTTTCCAGGGGAGGGGAGCAAAGTAGTGTGAAATTGTGAATTGAGAAAAAAAAACTCATATACATATGCTGAATGAATAAAGAAAGAATTATGTTTCTCATTTTCCGGGGGGCCAAGTGCCCCCTCTTGCCCCCCCCCCCTGCGGACGCCTGCGAACTAATACAACAAGTAAAGGTCAAGGAAGGTTAAGAAAGACGTCCTGTTAAAGGAACTAATACAACAAATAAAGGTCAAGGAAAGTTAAGAAAGACATCCTGTTAAAGGAACTAATACAACAAGTAAAGGTCAAGGAAGGTTAAGAAAGACGTCCTGTTAAAGGAACTAATACAACAAGTAAAGGTCAAGGAAGGTTAAGAAAGACGTCCTGTTAAAGGAACTAATACAACAAGTAAAGGTCAAGGAAGGTTAACAAAGACGTCCTGTTATAGGAACTAATACAACAAGTAAAGGTCAAGGAAGGTTAAGAAAGATGTCCTGTTAAAAGAACTAACATAATCAGTAAGGATGAAGAAAGGTTCAAAATATTCATCAAACTGGAAGTTACGTTCTTCGATATGCTCAAAAATCTGCGAGCTTTGATAATGTAACAAATGTTGTTTATCGAGTTTTGATAATGTAACAAATGTTGTTTATCGAGTTTTGATAATGTAACAAATGTTGTTTATCGAGTTTTGATAATGTAACAAATGTTGATTATCGAGTTTTGATAATGTAACAAATGTTGATTATCGAGTTTTGATAATGTAACAAATGTTGATTATCGAGTTTTGATAATGTAACAAATGTTGATTATCGAGTTTTGATAATGTAACAAATGTTGATTATCGAGTTTGAATAATGTAACAGACGTTGATTATCGAGTTTTGATAATGTAACAAACGTTGATTATCGAGCTTTGATAATGTAACAGACGTTGATTATCGAGTTTTGATAATGTAACAGACGTTGATTATCGAGTTTGAATAATGTAACAGACGTTGATTATCGAGTTTGAATAATGTAACAGACGTTGATTATCTGCTCAAACTTTACCACATACGAAATTAATCGACGTAATATTGTATAAAGATATTTTGAACTATTACTGTAAGATATTTTAGACCTAATGTAGAAGGTTTTCGATATAAATTATAAATTGAAAGTTTCATTGGCGTGGTCAGTTTTGTGTGTAACGAAATAATCTCACCAAACTAAGAGTTTAGTTAATTAACTAATGTGTTCAGTGTTGAAGTTCAACAAAATAAGCACCAGGATGGGAGATCGGTAAAAATTATGAGTTGCTTATCAACTAAGTAACAGCCAAACTAAAAGTTTCCACAATATGGCCAAAGACAAAGCTGGTAGTTGCAGCTGTTTGTTTGTTTTCGAAGCAGTGTCCAAACTGAGAATCCGATTACACAGACAGCGTTTAAATTCTTCCAAGACTCAATAACATGACAATGAGAAAAATACGTTTATAATGGCATTGAATAAATGTTAGATTTTTTAACATGTTTGCCATATATATATATATTGAAATTTTCCAACCTGAACAGCCAGTTCAGAGTCCTCGAACATTCAATCATAACCATTTCTTACTTTAGACTACTCACCAGGGGATAGGCAGCCAGCTAGCAGCACCCTCCGCCACAAAGAAGTTATCCTGCGGAGCGTGTTCAGTAGCATTACGTGTCTAGTTAATGCCTTCCGTACCGTAACCCAACACGTTAACCACAAGGCCACGCCCAGCCTTGTTCTATTAAAAGAATTTTAGTGAAGAAAAAATAAATGATTGTATTTGTTAAAGATCTAAGTAAGGGTTTGATTTATTATGAATTTCGCACAAAGCTACACGAGGGCTATCTGCGCTAGCCGTCCCTCATTTAGCAGTTTAAAGCTAGAGGGAAGGCAACTAAATTTGCAGATTTTTAAAACATTTTTTTTTCATTTGCCATTATGTATTCCACACCACAAATGTGTAAAAATAGCTTTTCTGACCTATCTTTTGTCTCCACCAAGCCACTACCCAAGAGGCCTTTCGTTCAATATCAAAACTCGTCAGCTGGGCTGGGCAGTGAAAGGCAAAACCGTATCTAAAACATTCTTTATGCATGAAATGACTTGTAGAAGACGGAAGGTGGACTTGAAATGCTATTTTTAGACACGTGTGGTTTGAAACACCTAAAAGACAAATCAAGAAGAATAAAAAAAGAAAATCATTTACAATCTAACGTGATGTTAGAACATAATGTTCTAACGTGATGTGTATTCCAAATAAATGGCTTACTGGTTTCCAAAGCTTATCCAGCTGGCGTTTAAACTGTAATATTAACTAGTGTTGGTTTCTTAGTGCAAAGCTACTCAGTGGGCAATATGCACTTTGTCCATCATTTGGAATCTAACCCCGGATTTTAGCGTTGTAAATCCATAAACTTAACGCTGACCCACCGAGGATTATATGAGGTTTAAGTTTTGTAAGATTTTTTTATGACTGCTACATGATTTGGATTCACTGGACATTGACACAAAAACGCAAGATCATTACGATTACTGACTTTTCTTGCGTATGTTAATAACACAGACTTATGTATTTCATTGCAAATGTTTGTGAGAAAAGCTTATCAACAGACTATCCGGATAAATATGGTGAAATTGTAATAACGCTTTGTTTATTTTGAATTTCGCACAAAGCTACACGTGGGCTATCTGCGCTAGCCGTCCCCAAATTAGCAGTGTAAGACTACAGGGAACACCCACCGCCAACTCTTGGGATACTCTTTCACCAACGAATTGACCGTCACATTATAACGCCCCCACGGCTGAAAGGGTGAGCATGTTTGGTGTGATAGGGATTCGAACCCGCAACCCGCAGATTGAGAGTCGAGCGCCCTAACCACCCAGTAATAACTCAGCTATGTAATTCTATATAGAGTTGTTATTTATTTCAAATCCTGCAGTCACATTCGGCAAACGTATGTACAAAATCAAATTAACGTAGCTTTTCAGTTGTAAGCACCATTAAACAGGAAAACAAACACGTCGCAGAAAAAATTCTACCCCGTCAATACGAGGCTGGCTTGTCAGGTGTGGTACCCTATATCTTGACCTTCTCTAAAATCAACCATTAGAGAGAAAGCGGTAAAAAAGAAAATGAAAAAAATGAACAATTAAAACAGATTTATTTGAAGTTGACGACTACGTTCTAATCCCTACATGTATAGAGAGCTTATATCTTATATCTTGTAACACACAACACTCACAAATATAATACAGTATGTATTTTATGACAAGTAGAGACAGTGTACGAGTAGAACAACAAATCAAAAATCATATAAGCTCTCGGAGCTTTTAAGTTCAGTTATTTAACACCAAATAATAGTTGGGCAGGTCAAGATATATTTTAGTTGACTCGAACCTCGTCATTTACATTTAAATTGAAAAGTGCTTTGAAAAGTTAGCCAATAAGCATAGACTCGCTACGCGGCGAACACCTGTTGCTCACCATTTCTAAAACTTGTAGCCAATCAGAGCTGCCTCGTGCTGCCACCACCTGTGTTTGTTGTCTTTTTCCGCGGGGTCCCACAGACTGAGAGTTTCTGACGCATGCGTGGAACATCTACTTTTCTGCGAGCAGAGTGGTTTTAGACGACAGAAAGTACTAGTTCGACAGAATGTACAGTGAGCCAGTAAAAGAAAGGTCTTAAGAACAAGAGTCTGAGTGTTGATTGAAAACGCAGCGATCATGCGAGCTTCACCAAGGAAACTGTTGCAAGGGGCAACGGGGGTTGTGTTTCTCGTGTACTATACAACTCTTCTCATTTTCTGGGAGCATAGGGATCCTCCTATGTCTAATCCCTCAAGCAATATTATGATGAATCCCAACGAAGAGGGACGACCACTGGGGTTTCAGGAACGAGCACCTCGATCGTTATCCGAGACTGATTATCCCGTGGAGGAGCCGGAAAATTTAAATAATCATAACTCTAGCACAACTGAACATTTCGAATCGACAACTCCTTCAATGGTTGTTAAAGCTGTCCGGAAAATTACTCCAAATACTGTCGAACTTAAAGATGTTTTCATCACTGTAAAAACAACCAAAAATTTCCATCAGCCACGACTAGATTGGATCCTCAAGACTTGGTTTGTTCTCGCAAAAGAACAGGTATGGTTTTGATTAATTTGTTATTTTGGCCACACTAGTGGCTATGGTATGAATGAGAACAACATTATTCTGGTGTGATTGAAATGAACTATATTTCATTTTCCTAAAGAAAGGTGTTTGTGTTAGAGAATATAACAACTATATGTGGCTTTCTTGATGAAATTACTAATACACCCATCTACAAAGTGGCAGTGGATTCATAATTCTTCGAAAAACAATTAGGTTCAAAGAAACGTCATGACACTAACATCTTAGAAGAGCGGCTTTAGTTCTTAAGGGTGAATTTTGTGTTAAGTCAAGAGACTTGGTTATATATATATAGGCTGTTCTTTATGTATTATTTCGACACAGTAAAATAATTACTACTTCAGTTACAGTTTTATCGTAGACTTCTTTTTTTTTTGTCTGAAGTAAACTAGTTTTAAGGCTTAGACATTGGAATTGGTGTTTTATCTTTATAATTTTCGTAAATCCTTTTCAAGAATACTCAGATGTCTCTATAACTATTTTGAAGAGCACTTTGATGTTTCGATAATTATTTTCAAGAGTGTTCGGATGTTTCTGTAACTATTTTGAAGAATACTCGGATGTTTCTGTAACTATTTTGAAGAATACTCACGTGTTTCTATAGCCCTTTTGAAGAATAGTCGGATGTTTCTGTAAGTGTTTTAAGAGTATTGATATGTTTCTATAACTCTTCTGAAGAACACTTTGATGTTTCTGGTTTTCTTCACGTGTAATTTCAGTTATTCAAAGTAAAGTGTTCCATGATGACTTATAAAGAGCAGTTCTAACTTAAGAATCATAGGAGTACAAGATTTGTGTCTTTTATATTCAATCCGAACCACAATTTTCTTGTAAACTTTCATTCTGAAATTTGCTTACTTTTACTTCAGTCTTAACTTCTTTTCCTTGTTTGTCTGGCAGTTCCAGAAAAAGAATATTTATTTAGTGATTTATTCTGGTCATAAAAACAAAACTCATAGGAATTCTGTCAAGCTATGATTCATTTGATATGTTTAACTTAAGTCTGAACACAGAGCAAGCTCACGGTCGCGAATGTTTTTAAATAGTTACGTTATAAGCAAAAGAAAACATGATGATATCATCATATATGAAGAATCACAAGGTTGTGATGATAGCGATCTGCATAATTTACATTTTGATTAAAACTTCGTGATCTGTAAGAAAAGCTAAACTAAAAGGGACAAAAATAAAAAAGACTGAAGGGGTCAAAATCCGAAGTAGATATGTATATAAGTATTAATTTCTTACTATTAATGTTTAACATTAGAGACGCGCCATCACGAACACACACACTGCGTAACACGAGGAGACCTGGGGGTCGCTCTCCGCCCTATTTTCTCACGACCATTAAGTTTTCAATTCCTGACCCTTGCCTTGAACGGACAAAATTCAACCCGTGAAGATATATCAGAAGATCCATGTTCGGGTCCGTGGGAGAGCTCACGACGCGGCCAAGTCAAGGCGAGATACGTTCATATAGGGTCAACTGACAGACATTTTTTTTTTTCTTGACGGACCGTTTGTAACTTGCTGGGACTAAACAATATGTTATATAGTACAAATGAAATAACTCTTTGCAATTTGTTCAATTAGGAACGAAATAGCTTCATACCTTAAAAAAAATGGTAAATTTCTTAAATTATCTATAGAATTTTTACAACGAATGGCGATAATTCTGATGTAATTCACTATTTGACTTTTAACAGTAAATGACCCCGACTTTCCTCTATCAAATGCAACAGTGATATGGCTGTTATTGTTTGTAATTAAGCACAAAGCTACACAATGGTCTATCTGTGCGCTGCTTACACGGGTATCGAAACGTGGATTCTAGCGTTGTAAGTCCGCAGACATACCGCTGGGCCACTGGGGGGGGGGGGGGACATGGCTGTTATTCCCAGCGATGAATCTCATATTTCTTATAACCTAGTAATCTTTATCGATAGTGTCCAGTCATCGCAAGAGCTAGTTTCGTGTCCAAAGCTATAAGGAAATCCCTTTCATCACGCAAACTCTACAGTTGTGAGATTTCTAGCAGCAATCGGTTCTTTTAAATAGCATTTATTGTCAAGGTTAACTAAAAGTATTTCGGTTTCATTTTTCTTCTTCTTTTTTTTTTTTTTTGTATAGAATACAGCAATTTTACTGGCTCATCTTCATCGATCGTCTTTTCATTGGTCTGCTTTCATTTTTGTGTTGCCTCCCCAGGGGCACAGCGGTATTTCTGCGGACTTACAACACTAGAATCCGGGTTTCGATACCCGTGGTAGGTAGCGCACAGTTAGACCATTGTGTAGCTTTGGCACAGCGGTATGTCTGCGGACTTATAACGCTTGATTCCGGGTTTCGAAACCCGTGGTGGGCAGCGCACAGATATCCACTTGTGTAGCTTTGTGGTTAACTACAAACAAACAATTTTCTGTTACTTTTTTCTTTCCTTTTTCCGGGCTTTCTCTTTCAGTTTTAATGCTTTCAAATAGTTTCATGTCAACGCCAGATATTCCTATAATCGACTCTTTTAAAATTTATTGATTGTTTGATTTCCTTCTTTTTTTAGTATTAGTTGGCTTCCTTGCTCCCCCCCCCTTTTTATCTGGATTATTCCAAAGCCTTTACTTGTAAATATTTTTTAATTTTAATTTTGTACTCCATTCTGGAGCATTTTCATAGTCCCAGTTCCTTCTCCTTCGGTGGCTCAGTGGTAAGCTTGAGGACTTTCGACGCTAAAACTCGAGATTCGATCCTTGCAGTGGGCACAAGTCATAAAACACAGATAACTAGCTCCTTTTACAATTTTGTGCTTAACAAAAAAAAACAGTATCAATGTGCTGAGTTCCCCCTACCCAGAGGCAGCGGTAAGTCTATGGATTTACAATGCTAAAATCATAGGTTCGATTCCTTTCGGTGGCCAAAGCAGATAGCCCGATGTGGCTTTGCTATAAGAAAAACACACACACACAAATACAATGTGCTGTGATTTACCTTATGTTGGATTAAAGACCAACTTATTTTAATCAAATGCTGTAATCTGTCGTAAAACAATCTTGTGCAATTATTTCTTTGGTTTATTTTGGTGACACAGTCTTGTGCAATTACTTCTTTGGTTTATTTTGGTGACACAGTCTTGTGCAATTATTTCTTTGGTTTATTTTGGTGACACAGTCTTGTGCAATTATTTCTTTGGTTTATTTAGGTGACACAGTCTTGTGCAATTATTTCTTTGGTTTATTTTGGTAACACAATCTTGTGCAATTATTTCTTTGGTTTGTTTTAGTGACACAATCTTGTGCAATTACTTCTTTGGTTTATTTTGGTGTACACAATCTTGTGCAATTATTTCTTTGTTT